TTTGTCTCGCTCGAACTTTTCTGATGGCTATTATAATGGGCTTTTTGAAGTACTATTGGCCTACAAGAGACGCAATTGTCTAGAAGGAAAATAGATGTCAGGATCAACATGAAAATCACAGGTAACTAGTTAGCATTGTAATGTTAAAGTGATACTGAAAAATGCAAAGCATTTCAAGTAAATAATTATAAGGAAACGAGAATAATTTCTTATCAATTTGTTTATCCGCTTACTTGTTTATCCTAAACATTTCCAAAAAGTCGATATAGAGAAACATATTAAACCGGATTAGTAGTTTCTCGAATATAACCCCCGAATTGGGCATTGGGCACGTTGTTTTCGTGCTTGTGCTATGCTGTGCCCGTGCTGAGTTGAGCTGTGCTGTGCTGTGGATGGCATGCTGGCGCTGTAAATGGAACGATGAACGAGTGGCAAGAGCCAGGGCAACAACAACAATCAAGCAAACACAGGCGCGTATACAATGAACACAACATCGGTGTGCCAGTGTGTGTGAGTGTGTATCTGTGTGAGCGACGGCTGTTGTTTTTGCCTTTCGGTATCTTGCACTCGACTCGGATTCGAAATCGGAATAAGCACAAGCGCTATACCCCGCATTATCGTGTACCGCAAGTGCTCATTACGAATTCACGGCGAGAAAAAAAAGAAAAATAACCCAAGCCGAAGAGAAAAACTTGGCAGATTTTTTCGAGGGTTAGTACGAAAAATATATGTTTTCAGTGCGGTTCACAGATTTTCTCGCAATGCAAATCTTTCATCTTTCATACCCTTAATAAAATCCCCTTTTTCGACTCCAGTTTCCGTTTCTCTCCCTCTCTCGCTCGCACACATGAGCGGCCAAATAAATTATGCTCCCTTTTTTTCATAAATGTCACTTTGAGCACACATTTGCCGACTAATTGCGGCAGGGTGGGTTGCGAGTGGGCGGGCAGAAAGTAATTGCTATAAAGCCGCGTAATAAGTGCACCTGTCAAAATTATTTCGATTGGGACAAGGGTTTCTAAGGCAAAGTAATAGGTAGTACTCTCCTATGGTTAAGTACCAAAATGCATAATCTTTTGACCTTTGAAATAAAAACCCCATTGTATTTGTAGACAACGAAATCGGTCGATCCTAAGACTAGCTCTTCAAACAAGAAACCTAATGGAGAAAATGTTGTATGCCTTGAGGTTGTGAGACATGGTAACTTTTTTCACCAGGGTGCCACGCCCACTCGGTGTCTAACGCCCACATTTTTGAAGATTTTGTAAAATTTTGTTTGTTTTTATTATCAATATCTATCTTCATGCCAATAAATTTCAAATTCTGACTGTCCATTAAAAAGTTATAAGCAAATAAAGAAATCGTCGCTAGGTGGCGCTGATGCGTGGTGTAAAATACTGTGAATGTTGTATACCGACTTTTATTTTTTAAGTGAGTTATAAGCTTTGATATAAAATTAAACAACTCTTTTATGTGTGCTACAGAGAACTGTAGTAATTTAGCTTTCTCTTGAAAAAGGAAACGACACTAGGTGGCGCTGTTGCGGGGTATAAAATATTGTGAATGTTGTATTCTGGGTTTTTTAAGTGAGTTGTAAGCTTTGATAAAAAATTAAATACCTTTTTTAATGCGTGCCACAGTAAACTGTAGTAATTTAGCTTTCTATTGAAAAATCTTGTAGTCTACCATTATAGATCAGCTGTAAAACTATTTTTTTATGAATTTGGTGCTTAAAAATGTGTGTCTCCAGCTTATAAGTAATGTTTAGGAAGCATTCTTTCTAAATACACGTATTACCATCCATGTTTGTGTGTTTTTGACGTAAACTCTATCAGCATTGAATTGTATTTGGACTTCATTGAAACACATTTGGTATTTGTTTCCGATTGTAAATTACTTTCTAAGCTGCCGCAAGGTCAATGAATCACCCATAACCCCTTTTGGAGAGCCCATGCAACCGTAAATGCAATTAGTATCTGGCCACCCAATGTTCGCCCACCTAACTTCCGTGTATTTGCGTTTGTACTTGGTAACCGCACGTACAAAACCACAGAGCAGTTGCAACATTAATTATTCATTTTGCCACAGGATTCTAAAGGATTCGCCCGCAGCCACATTGTGTGTCTGCTGTTCCACGTGGGTAGGTGTAGGTGCAAGTGCAGTTCACTTTTTGGGACAGCATTTGTAATCGCTTCCCATACCGAAATGAGTTTATTAAAATTATGGCACAGAGAGAAGGGTCAAGCAGTGTCAAACGGACTTAAAAAGGTCGGAAGTGCTTAATTTATTTCAGGGGAATAAACAAGTAGCAAATATACTATGCTGCTATTGTTTGTCCATCTAAATTTTGTATTATATAATTAAGTCAGAGCATTTATTTCCGCTTCTTTAAACATCTCTAATCAATACATTTTATAGACCCATCACCTATGTGTATGTATAAAAACATACCTATACATTACAGTCGAACTTCTTTAACATGATCGGCTTTTGTTGCCAATAAAATTGGGGAACTTCTACTGTAGTAATCGCAATGGAACATTAGTAAATAAGTATTCCAATCAATATATTTCTGAGGATCTGTGATAGCGGCGAGTTAAAAAGTTGAATTTGTATTATTTTTCAGAGTTCAATTGTCTCGCAATGTTGACTAAAAACCGATATTTTTTATTTGCCTGCCATTTATTTGTTTTAAAATTGGTCGTTAAGGTAGAGGGTTCTATTCGTATACAAAAAAATAAAGTTATGCTCTATTTATCCGAAAACCAAAGGCGAAACTGTGGATAAGAAGTTCTTCAAATTCGAATATTGTCTTCTGAGACCTGCGAACAGGACCTTGAAGTACTTTTTTGTAAAAGTAAATCTCTATAAAACTCCGGTAACCGATGTTCCTACAACGTATGTTAATATTTTCATGAAACATCTACTAAACAAATTACTGAAATATCCTTTTAAGCATGACCTTATGGCGGACAGGGTTTCAACAGAGGTGGGAAACCACCGAATGACTAATATCCTACCTTTTCCGGAAAGGAAACACATGAATAAAATGAACTGAATTACCTATGACACTGTCCGAGCTGTAATTAAAATATATATTTTACTTTTATAAAAGGGTATTTTAAACATGAAAAAACGGTATAGTCGATGCTTCGACTATTAGATACCCATTACTCTGTTTCAAATTACAAATAGTTGCGGTACTACTGACCATGTCAATTCCTGTTTTACTTAGTTCGTCATAACTTTTAAAATAACAACGGTTTGGTACGACTCTCAGCACTTAGACAGGTGTTGGTCAATAAAATCAGTTTCACTTAAAATTTTACAATATCTTTTAACATGTGGGCATTATACAGGTTTATCGTTATTGGCGTTAGAGTGGGCTTAGCACACTGCTGAAATGAACTCGCGCTGCGCAAGAATCCCAAGAATCTACATGCATTATCCCAACTTTCTAGCTTTCATAGTTTTCGAGACCTTAGCGTTTATACGGACGGACAGACGGACATGGTTTGATCGACTCATCTAGTGATCCTGATCAAGAGTGTATATACTTTATAGGGTCGGAAAAGCTTTCTTTTAACTGTTACATACTTTCCGACGAATCTACTATAGCCTATACCCTATACGTGAAAAAGAACAAAAAGGTAGATCCAACAACACCTGTACCACAAGTTGTCCAACCTCGCTCTAATTAATCAATAGAATTGATCGAAAGCCTTGGAGCAAATCCGACGAACAGTCAACGCTAAGCAATATTTAAACATAGGGACGCCGTATCATTTGCATACATACATTTATGCAAACATTTGCAATCTAATTGGTAAGCGACTAAATAAGTAATATAAGCAAATTTCAAAAAGCTTGTCGCTAAAAAGATCTCGTAAATCAATCAAAAAAAGTTTGCCACGCCCACTCTAATGCCCATAACGCTTAAATCTGTGTACCGCCCACATAACCATAGGGTATCTGATAGTCGAGGCACTCGACTACAGCGTTCTTCCTTGTTTTTTACTCAGAATTTGTTTCCACTTTTTCGTATACCAAGGCAGAGGGTGTTATGATTTTTGTCTGAAGCTTGACACGCAGCGAAGAAGAAGTTTTCGAATCTATAGACGAGTCGAAATAGACGTGTCCGTCTGTCTGTCTGTCCCTATGAACGCTGATGTCTCAAAAGCCATAAGAACTACAAAGTTGGGATACAGCGTGCGGATTCTAGGAAGTCCCACGCAGCGCATGCACTCTAAATCTGACTGTCTGGTGCGCAAACTTTTAAATATTTTGTGAAAGTGTAAACGGGATTTGCTGTTGATTATCAATGCCCATCTGCATGGCAAAAACGGATTAACCCTTACTATTCATTAAAGTGTTATGTATTAGTAAATAAGGATATCGAGAACTCTTTGGTGCTGCCATACATCCATCTCTCTCGACCTTCCTTGAACTGAGTAGCGGGTATTCGAGGCATATAGCGTTCTCTCTAGTTATGGCCGTTACTCGTAGAGTAAAAGGGTATACTAGATTTGTGGGAAAGTATGTAACAGGCAGAAGGAAGCGTTTCCGACCCCATAAAGTATATATATTCTTGATCAGGATCACTAGCCGAGTCGATCTAGCCATGTCCGTCTGTCCGGATGAACGCTGAGATCTCGGAAACTATGAGAGCTAGGCTATTGAGATTTGGCGTAAAGATTCCTGAGCTTCTTACGCAGCGCAAGTTTGTTTCAGTAGAGTGCCACGCCCACAAACCGCCCAAAACTGTGGCTCCTACAGTTTTGATGCTAGAATAAAAATTTTAACTGAAATGTATTGTTCTCATCAATACCTATCGATTGATCCAAAAAAAATTTGCCACGCCCATTCTAACGCCCATAACGCTTAAATCTGTCTACCGCCGATAGGTGGCGCATTTTTATCTCCATTTCCCTTTGGTCCCTTTAGCTGAGTAACGGGTATCTGATAGTCGTGGTACTCGACTATAGCGTAATTTATATATTTTAAGAAAGTGAATAATGTATCCTAAACACAGCTCGCAAAACATCATAGGCAATCCAGTGCATTTTAAACATGTAGTTTCCATTCGGAAAAGGCAAAACAGTAGTCATTTGTTGATTTATATACTCTGCTGTAAGCTTTTCCACCACAAGGTCATGCTGAAAGGAGTTTTAATTGAAAGTAAGAAGGTATGTGGCTATCAGATTTACTTACGTTATAAGGACAAGAGTGGTTCATATTGGAAGCGTTTTTAAACAAATTATAAAAAAACGTATATACCGGTTTAGATTTCGGGTTCTTATAGTAGTTACAGACATCTACAGTAATATTGTAGAGAAAGGGTTTATATCCATTCAACCGTTGAAAAAGGGCAATATTCACCTAAGCAGCATTTTCAAAGTTAAATTAATTATTGAAAAGTTTATAATGTACGTACATACCTTAATCCTGGATATGGGAACTTTGAAGAGGTTAACTTTTAACGAAATGTATTTGAATGTCCGGTTCTGAGATTTGAGACGACAATACTCGAATTCCGCGAAATCCTTATCTACTGATTCACACTTCATGTTCGTAAACTCAATTAAAGAATGAACCTGCAAAGAAGACATTGAAAGAACTATTTCTTTTGATTATTCTTATTATTTTATACTTCTCTGATTAAAAAAATATTCACAAGAAGTACAGCGAGAAAATTATGTTTCATATTCATCTTTCAGGGTTGAGGTATCCACGAGAACTAATTTTGTTTTTAAACTAAAGGCTAAAGGCCTGTAAAATGCTGTTTGGAAACTAATGTTGCCTAAAAAAAAACACTTAATCATAAATACCTCAATTAGTTTTTTCAATCAGACCCAAATTTAGATTATACTTTTATGTGTATTGCAATGGGATCAGGCATAAATACCTCTTGACGAGGTACACAAAATAAACACTCCTTGTTCAATATAATAGTAATACGCTATTCATAGTAATACGTTATTAAAAGTTGTAGAATAAAACATATACCACCAAAATTGGTAAATCCCAACTTTAGATTTAATTAAAAACATGGAAATACAATTAAAATTTTCTTAAAAAAGTCATTAAAAAAAACTTATCCAAGCAAAAATTAGTTTCTCTTCTTTTTTTGTGATCTTGGGTTCCAACTCTACCAGGAACTCCCATCATCCTTCTAATCAGATCAAATTCCCATTAACACTTTTACAAAATATAAAAAAATGTGGGGGCTAGGCAGGTTTTGGAGATTGGGTGCGTGGCCCCCAGCTTGCGCTGCGCAAGAACCTCTAGAATCTGCAAGTCAAGTCCCAACTTTACAGCTTTTTACGAACGGACGGACCAACGGACATTGCTAACTCGAATCGGCTAGTGATCCTGATCAAGAATATATGTACATATATACTTTATAGGATAGGATGTTACATACTTTCCGAAGAATCTAACATACCCTTTTAACGGATGTACAAATTTCCCTCGAAGTTTACCAGATTAGATATCAATATTAGTTTCTATATTGGGGTGCTATTATATAATTGCTAAATGTGTGTATAAGTGCTGTATTGTAGACAAAAATTGTTTGTGAATAGCTGGCTAATAGCACCGAGCTTAATAGCCTTTATTTAAAATCGAAATTAGTTCTCGTGTATATATGCATACCTCCACCCTAAAAGCTAAATAGATCATTACATTTTGCCATTACCTTATTGCCGCTTCATAACGCCAATCATGAAATCTGTGATACACAAAGTTTTAATGCTAAGCTACTAAAAATTAAAAATCAATTTTAAAATAAAATTAAAGCCGTTTGTGGTAAAATACATTTACATTTACGGCAATTTTTATAGATATACACAGAGAAAAGAACGGAACAATACCCGTTTGATGTCTTCATTTGTCTTCATTTATATATTTCGCTTCTTTCAACGTTTGTGGTTGATATGATATTGATATGAATACTTAATAAATGTACATGTAACATCAAAAAGTTTTCGAAAAAAGTATGACTGTGAGTTCGTAATTTTTGTGTATTTATGGTATTCACTATGCTACTTAAGATATTATTTGACTGGATTTCCGTGGTCACTGTGACACTCGTGGATTTTATTTTTCAAATGGTTAGTATCCCAAATTCGATTGGATTAACTTGATGTTTGTTTAATTCGAGTACATTTACTTCTTGGACACTGTACCGTGCTCTTCCTATAAAGTGCTATCGATCTGTCTGAGACGGACTACTCACACTACACTAAGAGAGGATGCCAAGCTGGGTAAGTTGCCGTCCACCACTTCGCTTGGAGTTATCTATTCAGGACTGAAGAAGGACTCCCTGGAGCTATTGAAACCTACATGAGGGGTCGGAGTTCAGAAAGATCGGCCATACATTGTAGTGGACCCGAGGACCCTTGCAGAGGGTACAATGATTTCAGTCAGAAGTTTGCAACGCAGTGAAGGGGACGTTTCCGACCCCATAAAGTATATAATAAATAATATATAATTTTTAAAAATAATATCTTTGGTGTTTTTTTAACATTTAATACGGCATAGGTACGATCGGAAAATTGGTGGGAAAATAACATGAAACAAATTATAGCTTCGGTGTTTTTTGACATATGATCTTATACTATTGGGAATATCATTTTATTGTATTTTTAAGAATTTCGAATACAATTTAATAATTATATCTGCAAGGGTACACAAACTTCGGCTTGCCGAAGCTTACTTCCTCTTTTGTTTTTATTTATTTGTATACAAAAATTAAAAAAGTAAAAAGCAAACTGATTAACATTGATATTACAAGCAATCTGATGTGAAAAATTGAAAAAATTTATATGAAAGAATATCACTTTGATAAGGAAAATGACCGTACTGGTATTAAAAATACCAAAATTATGTCACAAATTTGGTATGTGCAGCATATCACTCTGGTATAAAACAAACCATATTGATATGTTCGAAAATATGATACATATAAGGGACCAAAATTGACACGAAAAAATACCCAATTGATGACCAGTTTTGGTATTTTTTTTATATTTCCGCGTTGGTTTAAATATCAGACTTTAAAAGTAAATTTATACGGCAGTCCACGTAGTGACGAAACGCAAAAGTACATATGCAACAACAATTTTACTAACTTCCTAAAACGTTTCGATTACAATTCCCAACTGGATCTACCGGTTCGTGCACCAAGACTCCCAAATCTCTGAAATGATGTGACCTTACTTAAAACATATATTCTTTTAGGTCTCTAACATATGTACCTTAGCATTCGCTGGAAGTCAAGAACAAGGCACACCTTTAAAAGGTGTGATGAACTTAGTTTTGGAAACTGCTTTATTTTTATTATACTTATACATTACTATTCATAGTTACATATCTATTATATAGTAACCCTTACGCTAAGATATTACGTAATAGTAAAAGCATATTACAGAGCCAATTAACTGTATTGCATGTTGGTTTATTTGACCAACAAAATTGTTGTGAAGTAGTTTGAAAAAAAAGTTATGAGTGTAAGTATATTAACCTTTGCTGACATGTCTTAAATGGGGCGTCACATCACGGACTTCTTATCATCATTTATCTTCGTCACTCGATCCAACGTGATACTCGCCCATAATTTGTCCCCTTTTTGTTTTTAAGTACAGGCGAGCATGAAACATTTTGTGTGAAACGTGCTGGAAATTATTCAAGGACAATGCCAAAATCTTTTGAAATGCAAATTTTGCGTCGTAGCTGTTTGCTTCTCCTCCTTCTAGCCATTTTCCCCCCTTTTCTTCGGCGGAAAATCAAGTGGCGGCGGCAAATGAAGCGAGCGAACGCACTTTGCATATGGCCAAAAACAGGTTCGTCGCGGATTCCAACAAAATGAAATGCCAGCGCAGGGCAAAAAGGAGAAAAAGCAAAAAATCAGCGAAAACGGGCATTTTTGCGTTAATTATAAACGCCAAGGCCAATACACGGGCACACTACATACATACGAATATGTGCGTTAATCTCTCTCATTTGACAGTTGGATTCAATTAGGAACGCCGCCACCCACACAGTCGCACTGCGGGCCCAATTCGAGGGAGTGCAACGGAGATGGCCTGCTGTTGCCGAGCGCCCTCGCGCCATCCCGCTCGCGCAGCGCTGCGGTAGGCCAATGGGTTGATTTTTCTCTCGGCTCTTTTCGTGCGGCTCTCTCGTGTCCGCCTCGTGTCGCTCTTTCTCTCTCGCGGTCATGCGTACAAGAGAGCGAGCCGCGCGTTTTGGGCAGCGACAGCGCCAGCAGGTCTAATCAGAATCAGTCTGTGGAGACTTTTCGAGACGAGCACTTTGTGAAACGGAGAATATAAATTTTTCGCGGCGCGAGCTCAAAACACTGAGAGAGGGAGAGGGCGCGAGAGTGTGCGACAGAGAGGCAGCGAAAATCTGTGCGTGTACGAGAAATCGATAACAGCAGCTGAAGTGGCTGAAGAAGAAGAGGAGGAGGAAAAGCAGCGGAGTAATCGAAAGCGCGTGTGTGTGGGTGTCGGCAAATGGATTTAATTTAATGGAAAATCCAGGAGGAAAATGCCACAGAGGAAAAATCTGCGAGTAACAACGCAATTGCTTTGAGTACGTATGCGGGAAAATTAAAAAAAAAATAAAACAAGAAAATTTCCCTCTATATGTGTGTATGGGTGAAAATTTTGTAAACACAAATGCCTTGGTGTGCGTGCGTGTTATTCTCGCCGCGTATTGGAATTTTCGTCGTGCGGCGAAAACGACAGCTAGCGGCGAAATTGCGCCCGCGCAAAAGTAGAAAGTTTGTCGTCGTCGTCGTCGTCGTCTCTCTCGCCGCGGCGAATAGATACAAATTTGTGTGTGTCGTGTGCTCTCGCTTTGACGGCGAATTGAGCGCAAGTGGCAGTTGGGATTTCTCGAATTGGATTTCAGTTGAACTCTGGACGCGGCGCGGAAAAATCGTTCCCAGTGTTGCTACGATATTTTCGTACATTTTCGTCCATGTTTTCGTCTTTTTTTGTGAGTCTCTTCTTCGTGTCAGCTTGTTGCGTGTGTGTGTGTGTGTGGAGGGAGAGAGAGAGTGGGAGAGAAAGTGTGAATGTGTGTGTAACCACCCTGCGGGCGCTCGTGCCGGCCTAACTGTAATTGTTGTTATTGCCGACACTTTCAAGCTGCGACCATGTGTGTGTGTGTATGTGTGTGTTTAAGTGCGCGCCTTTTACGAAATTGCGGCGTATAAACAGAAAGCGGGATAAGGAAAATCAAGAAAAGCGCTCGCCAGCGACGTCATCAATTTCACAGCGTCATCAAATGTTGGACTGTCATTTTCCAGCTGAGTGGGCGTCGGCCCACCCACACACAAGCCACCCACTTTTCAGCCCGCCTTAGTTTTAGCTCAAGCCGCTCGGCCTTTTGTTTTTGTTTTGTTTGCTTTTTTGTTTTGCTAGCACAGCCTCCGTTCTTCTGCCTCCCATCTCCGCCCTTCCTCACGCTCTCCCCTTTGCGTGCCATTTTCGCGTGAGCGGCAAACGAAAAGCATCAAAAGGCACCGGAGACAAAAAATGGACGAGCGATGCGACTTTTGGTTGCGCTATGCAAGTGGGCGGCTTTTTTGGGGTGGCTGTGGGATTAATAGGTGGTCTTATTTGCGAAGTACTTTGTTGAATAATGAATAATGCATGCCGTAATGCATTATAATGTCACAATTTCAAAATCTCAAGTTTCCTGTCAGCTATAAATAGAGTTTTAAATTGACTGGAATCGAAAAGTGGTAGAATTTCATTTTAATATAGGGTGGAATATCTTTACAGTAATACATGTTATATTATATTTCGGAAGTGATTAGAGTACCCTATCATTTAGAAGCAATCTTGCCTTGCTTTATATAATTTAAAGTCTTTTGAATTTATAGGGGGACAGATAATTATGATATAATTAAGGACATAACCAAAAATTTTAATCCTTTATTTATTTGAAAAGCACGCAAATTGAGAAACAAGGATTAAAGACCATTTTTTTCCATATCAGTTTTTCCATCTATCAGTTTCGTTCAGAATACAAAGTCAGTCTCTAAGAATCCTGTAATATTTGTGTCTAATTTAAGTCTTTTTATAAACCATGCTTAAAATATTACATTTGGACTGTAGTTACAATGCAAAGGTAAAGCTTAAGCTTAAAATGCTAAATACAACGTACTTCAATACAAATCCCATCTAGTATATTTACTGACACTAACATAATTAACTAGAAAAACAACATACTAGTATCTTAATATACCTTAAAACCCCCTTAAAAACATAGAATAGGAACTAAATTAAATAAAAATAGGAATAGTTTTAAAACTTACCAAGAAAGTACACCCAATCCTAATGCAATATCCTAAAAACCCTCTATGAGCATCAGAAACTTTTCCGATACGAGGTCTCCGAACAACCTGCTGATCCACAATGCCCTGAACTTTGCCCTGAACTCTCGGCTGCCTGCCATCAACTCGTAATCATCGTCAGGGCATCGCCATAATGATGAAAATTCAGTTTCCACTGGTGTGCAGGGCACAAAAGCGTAATTTTCGTAGTTTTATGGGGAAAAGTGGGGGGTTGGGGTTACGAAGAGCCGAAGAGAAGGGGCGCCAAGCTAAAACTAGCTTCAAGTACACCGTCGAGTGCACATCGCATCGTTTTCTGTGCTTTTCTCTCGGCTCTCCTCGGCTTCTCTCGGCTAGGTGCCCTCTGTGGCACGAAGGGCGCCCGAAAGACCAAAGACCCCACCTCCCAAAAGCCCCCTCTCAACCCGCCCACAAAGTTGCTACATTTGTGTTCTTTTTTTTTTTCTTTTCCTTTTTTCATATTTTTGTAAGCTTGCAGCACATTGTTCCGATTCATGGATATGGATGGCTGCCTTACTAGTCTAAAGTTTTCTGTATTGTGCGAGTGTGCTGACGTTGCCATATCTTTTGGGACAAGATACAGATACACGGTTGATATATCTGCCTCTGTGGCTTTTTTGTTGACGAGCGACAACCACAAATGTCGACAACGATGATGATGATGGTGGTGATGATGGTGATGATGGTGATGTGATGATGGTTAGGCGATGGGATTGCGGGCTGTCTGCTGGTTCTCACAGTTGTGTGTCTTTTTCCTACTTTTTGTTTGGCCATTGTGGCCCGCTCTTTTCTAGCCTTTGTCATTATTACGAGGAGACCCTAACAGTTGATTAGCCATCATCAGTTGTCACTTGTCACTTGTTGAGCACATGCCATACATGGAAATGTCGCCCCTTAACCCCAATCTTGGTTTCCCTTTCCAGGACCCCAAAAAAGAGGCTACTAAAAGTAAGGATTGAGGAATAGGCAGCAATATGCACCTGAAAATCACGCACAAAACGGTGGAACCGGAGGTGCCACACTCCGATATGGGTTCCGCATCCCCAGCATCTCGGGATGTGCGGCAGTTTCACGATCTGATAACCTGCCGACTTTGTCGCGGTTACATGATCGATCCAACCACAGTGGACTTTTGCTACCACACCTGTAAGTGATTATAAACTCTATAAAACTCTGACATATCCATAAAAGTAGGATACAACTTCTTTAAACAAGTCTTAAACTAGATGTTGTGCATGTGTTTTTCAATTCTTCTTAGTTAATTTAATAAATAAACAACATATTTGACTTCATTTAATAAATAAAGAACATATTTGAATTCATTTTTGATTATATGATTATACAAAGTCTAATTTACAAGTACTATGTCACTCAGATTTTATTAGCAACTTCAAACATAGATGCTACTATTCAAGATTTTAAAGTTTTCTCAGTTTTGGTTCAAGTGCTAACGATTAAAGCTTTGAAATGATCACTTTAATTTAATGTTTGTTCCTTTTTTTTTACCATTATTTCGAACACATGAGTTATAATTCAAAATAGTATATTTTAATCTTTACTGATTATTATTATTTTTGTTAAAATGTAATATCAATTACGCACTTAGGTCAAGGTATATATAAGAACACTTTGTTTAAATAAAAATTAATCTTTACCATAACAAGTTGCTTTAAGTCCTAGATAACATAGAGCCCAGAATATATCCTGTATTATATCGTTCCACCTATAATTCCCCAACAGATTGCCGCAGTTGCATACTGAAACATCTGCTGCGAACGGTCTATTGTCCGGATTGCAAGGCCAGCGGAGGCAAGGAAATCAGCGAACTGAATCTGAAATCGGACGACACGTTGCGATCGCTGATCTATAAGCTGGTGCCGGGTCTCTATCAAAGGGAATGCAAGGAGCTGGCGGATTTCGAGGAGCAGCACGAGGACTTGGTGGATGAACAAACGACCCATGAGCAGGAGTTCTTCACCACCACGGAACTTGTTAGGTAAGTTTCCATCACAGGGGCAAAAGAAGCGTTGACGGGTTAAGCTAAGCAACTCCTTGCCTTTCTATTCTATCTTCCGTATCGAACAGCTTATCCCTGGAATACCATCCTGCCATGCTGCATCAGTGTGGTCCTGGCGAGGTGCCACCCACCATTTACCTGCAATGCGCCGCCGGATTGCGGGTGGAGTTGCTGAAACGCTTCCTCTGCTCCAAGTACAACATAGAGCCAGAGAACAAGCTGGTTGAGGTGGAGGTGACCTACGAGGACGAGGTTCTGCCCTCCAACTTCACGCTGATGGACGTGGGATACTGCTACAACTGGAGTCGGGTAAGTGAAGTTTTTTAATCATACTTCTCCCTGCACAGAGCGAATAAGTGGAAGTATATCTAGTTTAGAAATCTCTTAGTCTTTTCTAACAAGTTAAAACAAGTTTTTTAAAGATTTTGTAACCATGACAAATAGTATTTGTATACAACAGCTTATAAAAGAAATATCATTTTGATTATCAAAGTACAAGAAATATGTGAGTGTAGTTTATGTTGATGTTAACAAAATCTATCAGTTTAAAAACCATTAAGCATATTACATTTTAAAAACTGCAGTCAATGAAAAACTCGTAATATCCAAAAGGGAAATAGGATTATAAAGTCTCTTGATTTGCGGTGTTCCAGCTGCCAGAGCAAACCCTAAAAACCGATCCATCTTTGGTCAGTTATAAGTGTAAAATACGCCCTTTTTCCCTCTGTGTGGGTCGGTCTATTGTCCCTTTTTGTGGTCTATCTCAATTACCCGATAGATTTTGGCCAGGGGAAACCCAATCCAATTGTGCCGGCAGTTTAGCGTTCAATGTCCACTTTCAATTTTCCACCCTTGTCAACCTGCCCTTTTTTTCCTATCTTTTTCTCCCCTCTGCGAATCCATTTAGCAATCGCCCATGGCCTTCTGCTACCGGATTCTGCTCTACGAGAACGAGCGAGCAAAAAACGATGAGAACAACCTATCCAGGATTAACCAGGACATTGAACCGGAGCACTCGGTGCGTCGCTCCAAGTCGGCCAAATCGGTGACCTTTGCCGAGGACCTGGAATCGGAAATGGACTCCGTTTCTCCGCGCTCCAAGGCGCGTAGCAAGACATCGCCCAAGGTTTCGCCCACGTCGAAGAACAAGCGAGTGGCCATGAGTAAACGGGAACCAGAACCCGAATCTCCGGTGAGCACCTTCAAGAGTCTCCGGAGCAACGACATGCGCTACAGTGACTATGCCGTGTCCAAGGTTAAAAGTGAACCGGAACAGGAGCAGGATCTCCTGCCTAGGGAACGGGAACCTCAGCCTCTGGAGGCCAACATGAACATAGTGGTCAGCATTCCCCCTCCCAACTGGGCAAATCCTACGTCGATGCTGAGGACTTCGAGTTGAAGACGGCGAACCGAAAGGGCGTGGGTCATCTGCCCAAGCTGAAGATCGAACTGAACAGCATGAAGAGCAAGCTGAGCATGCCCTTGTCGGCTGGTCCGCGACTGGAGGATACCTCTTGCTCGGTCCAACAACAACTCGATCTGGAGACCTATGCCAAGAATATTGGCTTGAAGCCCATTGAGCAGCCCCTGGTTCAGAGTGTTGCCGCCAATCCCGATAGCAAATACAGTCCCAATGCCTCGCCCATGTCCTCGTGCTCTAGCTCCACCAATGGATCCACCTGTAGTTTGGGCACTGCCGATGCCAGTACCTCGACCACCACATCCAGTTCGCATCGGAAGCGCAAGAAGAAGCACTCTAAGGAGCCCAAGGATGCGAATGGCAAGCGCAAGAAGTTGCATGCGGAGATCTCGTCGCAGACGGATGGCAAAATGAAGGTAAAGATCACGGCCAAACCGAATCACAAGTTGGATTTTAAGCGTTCCCATTCGCTGGCCAGTGGAGAGCTGGCTCTCCAGCAGCTAAAATTGGACAGTACCAGCACTTCGGATGCTCTAAATCGCACATTGGGAGAGGAGGCTAGGAGCATTAGTAGCCTAGTGGTGGGTGGAGCACCCACGCCGCCACCCACGCCCACAACGGAACCAGAGCAGCAGCAGCAACAGCAGGTGGTAGTGCCAAAAACCAAGGAATTGACCTTGCCCACATCACCACCTTTGCCGCCCAGTTTGTTCAAGGCCTATACCCCCAGCACAACGCCAATTGCACCACAAACAGTGACAGCAAAGCCCAAGCAACAACAGCAATCCCCTCAGCAACATCAACCTGTGGCACAGCAGAGCCTAGCTAAAACGAACCCCGTCAAACCGCCGCTGAGCAGCAACAACAATCGCCAGCCAAACAGTGGATACTTTGCTGTGCCAGAAGTTCCAACCAACCGGAATATGTACCACATGCAACGCTACCTGTCCACACCCAGTTCCATAGCCAGTGCGGCCAACAAGCAGCCAAAGCGTTCCCTGTCCCTGGACGAATCGCATCCAGCGGCCAAGACGGCGAGAATGAGCCAGGCCCAGGCGATGGCCAGCTATGCGGCCAAAATGCAGATGCACAAAACGCAGGCGGCCACATTTCTGCCCAATCCTCAGATACGCTCCTATGGACCCGAAATGGGCAGCAAGCCAACGCTGCCCCTAACATGTCCCGCCAACTTGAGTCTAAGCCTGCCCAGCTCCGCTCAAGTGACGATTACGCCCAGGCCAAGAACCACGCCGTCGGTTTATGCCTTTCCAGAGCCAACTGGCCATGTGCCCGCCCTGGAAATAGTGCGATTGCCGGCTGGTAAACAAAGTGCTGGGGGCAAAAGCCTAACGATGCCGCCTCTTAGCCCGCCGGCGACGTCCGGTGGCCGTTTGATGGGACCACCGGCAGCTCTGCCCAAGCAACCAGGCCATAGTGCGGCCAAGAGGACCAGCCAGTCGCCACCAATGCCGCTGCCCATGCCGATGACCACCTTTCCAGCGATTGTCAAGTCGCCGCCGCTGTCAGTTGCTCTTAGCGGCCAAAGGAACAAGAGCAACTCCGGCTCCAACTCAAACTCAAACGCTTATCGCACATCACCGCCTGCATTAATAAATCTGCGCAACACAGCCACGGCTCCACACTCGTTTCCATCAAAGTCGAGCCCAAAGGTAGAGGCCAATTCAAAGAAATCCCCGCCAGCTGGATGCCAGGGCAAAACCAATGGCACTGCCGCATTGGACAAGTCGAAAACGAGTTTGCGCGAGTTTCGGCCAGCAGTTCAGGCGGTTGTTGCAGCAACAACAACGGCAGCGGGAGCAGCAGGAGCAGCCAAGGATGCCGATATACTTGATTTATCAGCTAACCCGGGCAGGAGCACCACCGCCAAATTGGCGCCCACATCACCGCCCGCGGGTAACAGCAACAACAACAACAACAACAACAGCACGAGCAACAGCCTGGAGGCAGCCTTGAACAAAATCAAACAGAACATATCCGCCAACAGCAATGGTGGACCATCGACCACCACATCGGGTGGCTCGAACTCAAATGGCAATAGCAACGGCGATGATCTGCAGAATCTGCATATGCTCTCGGAATCGGCGACGGCCAGGGAGAAGATCTCCATCAAGGCGGCCAGCAGTGGTGGCAGCAACAACGCTAGTAGTACCACCACCACCAGCTCCACGAAACCCAAGAATGCCAATGCGTTGGTGAGACCACAGAATGCTTCGGTTAGGAGCATACCCAATCCCTCGGCTTTGGCTTTTCGCAATCAGCCAGTGGCTTCCAGTGCAGCAGCGGCCACCAGCATCAGCAAACCACTGACTGTCCGGGCCGAGGAAAAGCCCAAGACAGCCACCAGCAATCCGGGTCTGCTCAGTCCCACCAGCAGCACTGGCAGTAATGCCAGCAGTAACAGCAATTCTGGATGCAGTGCAGCCACTTCCCCACGGGCCATGACCAAGAAGCCCACGACCATTGATCAGGTGGCGGCCAATTTGAATATTCGCGCCGAGGCCAAGGCCGCTGCCCTTGCCGAGGAGGCGCCACCCGTTCTGAGCAGCAATGCGGCCAAGTCACCGGAACTGGCCAAGACCACGACCACGGCCGGAGGAGCAGCCTCGCGGACGGAAGCCAAGGAGACGGCCATCACCGTTTCGGCCGCCAGCACCCTGCTGCCCATGCCCTCCGGCGTCTCCAGCGGATCCGGAGTCCCCGAGTCGCTGGCCAAGCCGCCCGTGCAGATTGCCAATGCCCCGGTGGCGAGTTCCGCTTAGTCACAAGGTGAGTGTCGTTTTTAGTTACATATATCTAGGCTAAGCACTTGGGAATTTAATGTTCAAGGGGGTTCATTTTAGGTTCTTGGTTTATTACAAAAACCAATTTAGTTTGTCAGGAATAGAACATAATTGGAAAAGAATTTCAAAGGCGGTTTTGAAAACCAACATGGATTTATCCATGAACAATTTTTTGTTTTTCTAATTTTAAATGATTCAAGAAATCATCATTTTCATCTAAAAACCCTTCGTTTGGACTTATTTCGCTTTAAGAATATTTTTTTTAAAACATCAAAACCATACAAAAAAATGTATGGGTAAAATTAACCAACACGGATAGTTATCTCACTGTAAAAAAGTCTTAGAACTATTAAAAATAGTGACGCGTTTAATATTGTTGCTTTGGTTACTATTATACAGTAACACTACCATAAAATGGGTAAACTGTGTGTATTTTGTTGTTGAGAAAGTAACTATTTCGTTGGTTGAATTGACAACTCAAACTCATTTAACTATTGCATTGGTAAATTTTACCTAAAAGTTTTTTGTTTATATGACTAACACGATTTTTTTTTAGTTTGCATACACTTGTTTAATTTTGAATGAATGCTCAAAAAAAGTTCAAAACATTTTAAATTCAGAAACAATATTTATAATGTATTAGTTGTTTTGTATCATACGGAGGTTTCACAGAAATCTCTTAGCTCTGAATTTGGGTGTGTTTCTTATATGCATTAATGTAAAGTCTACCTGAATTCTGCACTAAGGGATTTCTCTGGCAACCCTGATAATTTGAGTTCATATGGTTTGACTTTTCTGATATAGGTTCATGATTTCTCTTTAGTTTCTTAACTTTTGATCTTGATTTTTTATAATAATTGGTTGTTTTTCTGGACTCTTTCATTTATAACCATTTTAACTTATGGTTTATGGTTTAAGTTTAGGCTTTCATTATTTGCTAATTGCTCTAGTTTCATTTTTTCATTCAACTTCTTTGCTATCGCCTAAATAAGCTTGACTGACCGATCCTAGGGTTTTTTCTCTTTTTTTAATTGTTTTTCTTTTTAACGATCTACTGTGACCTCTCAAGCTCTACGCTACATTAGCAAAGTTAACTCTTTTGTTAGAGCCAGCTTTCTTGAACTCGGCGACTTGGCTAGTTCTTCTTCGCTTCCCTTCTTTCTTCCCACTTCCTTTATGAGTTGGCTATATAATTTTTCTTTTTGGCGCATTTCCCACACTTGATGGAATTGAGTCTCAAATTATACAAATTACATTTCGTGTTTTGCGTTTTCTTTGCCTCGTTTTTCTTGCCATCGTTGTTGTTTTTGTCTCTGTTTATTTTCTGTTTTGGCTTTTCTCAAGTAGTCATTATACACAAATAATGTATCTTCTACGTACTCTCTGCCCCTCTCGCTCCCTCCTTGGCCATCTCGCTCTGTTTGTCGCTCGTCACTCGGCAGCGGTCGTGGTCGGTCATTCATACGACTCTTTGGCTTTGCTTTTATTTTAGACGTTACTACACTGAGTTTTGACTTTTTGGATGTGTTCGTATACCCGCTAATCGAATAAAATGGTATATTGAACACGTACCTATGTTTGTAACATGGCAAAAAGTTGCATTCCAATCAGATATAGAATCATTAACCTTGTCCGTTTGAAAAACTGGAACTATTAATCCGATACATCTTGCTAGGCTCAATGGTATTCTACATTTTCAGTCGTTACAAACCTACAAATATTTAACCCATGTATAAAATCTACAAAGCTTACTAAGCCGAAAAGTATTTCGAATTTTTGGTCATTATAAATCTAATATAACAAATAAAGTTTTTGCTGATACTTCATTTTATTTTCGTGGAACATGTTTGTAATATCCCTATCTACCCACATACCAAAAATAATGTTCATCATATTGTTTTTAAGAGAGTTACCATAGATAGAGGGCATCATATGGTCGTGTCACTCGACTTTGAGATACTTTCTTGTTTTAATTTCCATTTTGTTTTTTTTTGTATTATTTCGGTTTTTGGCTTAGCGCATTCCCTCGTGTTGTGTTTTCGTTTTTTTCTGTTTTGGTTGGCCTTTTAATGAACATCGGCCGCGTAGAGTCATTACATCATTTTGTATTTTCACCCATAGAAAGGCGAATAGCATTTTCATTCATTCTCTGCCTCTTTTCGTCTCTTTTGCAGCGTTTCTGTGGCTGTGCGGAACGCAAATGTATCTTGTGGCGCCGCTGGAGAATCTGCAGAATACCGACAGCAACTGAGGTGATGAAAGATAACTACGAAAAAGGAACAAAAGAGTAGATCCAACACCTGCAGCACAAGTTCCCCAACCTCGCTCCCGAAGAAAAGTGCAATTTATTAATCAGTAGAATGGATCGTAAGCCTTAGAACTAATCCGAAATACACTCAACGCTAAGCAATATCTACACATAGGGAAACCGCATCATTTGCATACGTATGTGCAAACATTTGCAATCGAATTAGTACGCGACTAAATAAATAATCCAAGCAAAATTCAAAAATGCCAGCAACAAAATTCATTAATAAATAATCCAATAGAGAGAGAGAGAGGCGAGGAGGAGAATAATAATCAAAACGGCTGGCGTTCGCTGGCATTTTCGAAAGCAGGCAAGGCAAAAACAAAATTAATTATAAAATATCAACAGCAAATATGTGTTAAACCGAGATAAGGTCACACACAAACACATGCCTTTAATAGATAGATCTTCGGTTGGCTTTTGGCTTTTTGGGAAAAGTCCAAACGGAACCAAACAAAAACTAATAAATAGCAAATTATTTTAAAAAAGGGCGATAGTAAAACTGTTTTTGGAGATAAAATTACCAAGAAGAAAACCACAAACTGATAGGAAAACGGAAATCGCATCAGGAATATTTGATTACACACAAACACACAGCGAGTGCCGAAAGTGTTTGGCCCACACCCTTCGGGAAAACTGCCGCGAAGTGTGAAAATTCGGTGGTGGTGGCTGGGCCAGCTAGCCAGATTGTTCGTATGTAGGCAAAAGATACAGCCGATACCCGATACACACTCACGTTCCTCATCGGGGCGATAAAATTTTAACGATTTTGCGCCGCTTTGAGCGAGCGTGTCAGGCATAAAGATACAAAACAATACTTGGGCATATATAAACAAAAGCAAACAAAACGGAATAATGAAAATAACAAACTCGCACTGGCACACATGCGTATATTTATATACATATACCCGAATAAATATATATATATATCTTGTAGATACTTTTTCGTATTAGTTGTTTAAGCGAGTAGCGCTTAATTGAAGCACGAGTTTTGTACATAAATTTAAAAATCGAAGCCAGGCAAACAAAAAAGTAAGAAAAAAGATACAAACCAGCACCCCAGCACTTGGAAATGAATTTTAATTTTTAGAGCTTCGACCAAATGAAATACTATATATACACAAGAACACACGCATTATAAAAATATTGATATACTCCTCTTATATTTACGATATTCGTACACTCGAAAAGGCTTTAGGTTTTCGTACATTTATTCTCTTCTTGCTCTTAGCTGATATTTTTTGTTTTGTTATTTATGCATATATCGTCTGTACATATTTTAAGCGAAGAATGAATTAAAAAGTTTATGAGGGAGGAAGGGAAACACTAAATTGTATGAGTTTCTTAGAGGAATAGCTGGATTGTAGAATATGGTGGCAGATCCACCCCATGATGTATCCGTATCTTTTTGCAACCCCTGCTCGTTGGCAGCATCCCTCGTGATCGGCGCGAAATTAACATAGTTTCCAGGCAATCAAACAAATTGAAAGGCCTCGGGTCTCGGATCGACCAGCTATTCCAGCTATTCCAATAACTTTGGCTCGACTCCTGATTGTTGTATATTTATTTATATTCCTATTATCGAGATATATATACGAGATGTATCCAGTTGTATCTAAGCGGATATTGTACTGTTCGGACACCTTAACTAAATAAACCTATGAATACTTAAATATAAAGCATATATGTTTAGAAATCTGATTGTATGCACACGTCTTGTATGTAATATTGTTAGAAAACCCTCGAAATGTAATCCAAAAATGAAACCCACACACACACAGAACACCCCTCACACACTAAGTTAAATTAGCTGATTTTCGAAAACAATAAAAACATGAAAATGGAACACAGTGTATAACAAATGCGAGTGTGGCTTTATATTTTTATGGGCTGTGGATAAATCAGGGCGCCCGGCGTCGACAGAAGGTGTCGCCTCGGCCGAAGGAAGTCGGCTCAAGTTACCCATCGTTCCATCGTTTCCCCTCGGTCCTCGGAGTCCACAAATCACCGATGTCTTGCCACCCCGCTTGGCCCGGACTTACTTGTTGGCATTGCGGATTTCAACGCTTTTCATGCCTCATAAAGGAGTTGGTTGCGGGGGGCGGGGGGCGGGCACTTGCCGGAAACATATGGCAGCACGCTAAAACCAAAGCCCTTTGTCGCTGCTCCTGTCCTGACTGCACTGCAAATAATTGCGGTTTATCAGTTAAAGGTTTGAAGTAGTTACAAGTTTTTACAAAAATATTTCCAAAATAGATAATTCATTTTCTTCTAATTGGAAATTATGTCCTAAAACTTATAGTTATTATGTGCAATGCTTATTTAATAGTGAGAAGTTTCCGACTCAAATTCATATAGGCTTGAATGTCAAGAAGTCTAAGTCTCTACATTATGCCAACAATCAAAAAGGAGCGAAGGAACTTCACTGCAGTAGCCAACCACAATCATCATCAGAAAAATCGCTATCTTGGTCAGCGATCCATGTGGGTTACCCTGCAGCTCTAGAACTGGTTGGGAATTATAGCAACATCAGAGCGGTAAACTGCGGAAAGATCAAGCTCTTAGTGTGTTTTAGTAGTATTAAAATTAAAACAATGTTTAGTTAGCTTAGTTCTGCTTAGAACTTTTACAAAAAAAAGGGTTTTTCGATACTTTTGTTTAAATCAAAATGAATCTTTATGATCAATATGGTTAGAATTAGATCCAAATTCTATTTTGCTTAAGATACCTCTTCACTAAAATGTGGCCTAATAGATATATCTGATTTCGAAAGTAAGGGGTATTTGTTTTTTTCGAGTGTGGTCACTGTTTCCCCGCAAAGCCGCAGAGTCTTGCCACAGTCGCATCCACATAACAGGACACGTGCCAGCGCGCCACCCCTTCACCCATCAGTTTCAGCCCAGTGGCGTAACCTTCTGCAAGGGCGATTGCCGCCGAAGCCAAGGATTCACGAGGACGTGCACAAGGACGAAGGACGAAGGCGAGCCGAAGGAAGGCTGCCTCACTAAGCAGCAGCTTTTGAGGTTCTTTTTGGGCATGTGTGCTCTGCACCAGCCAACGGTATCAGCGATGGGAACTTGATAAGGCATGCTATATAGATAATATTCTTCAAGGGATTTAAGTCATTAGGACGTGTTAAATCTCTTAAAAATAAATTAGAAAGGTAGGTTTTTAAAAATATATTATCCTATCCAATCATATCCTTAATTTAAGTCGTTAAGATGTTGAATACCTTTTTAAAATACATAAGAAAAGTAGGCTTATAAAAACATGTTATACTATTCTGTCCTTAAGTATCCTATCCCAATCCTAAGACAAAGAAAGAATTTTCTTTTTTTTCTGTATTTGTATTGTGCAAGGGTCAACTTGTCGATCAACATGGGTAAGAAGTATACTGCGCGTGTGGCGGCAGAAGCAAAATGTATAAAAAAGAGTTTTTTAATCTTGAGAATGGATCCGTAAATAAGTTTCTAATGCAATGACTTTATTAAATTTACATTTCTATGTATGAAACTGAGATAATGCCTTTAAAAACCTTTTCCGATCTTACAACAATATTTTCTTTGCACCAACGATATTTGCGGTCGTGTCACGATGCCATCGCCTTTCGAGGCAACTTGTTGTTTTATTTGCTTGTCGTACTTTTATTAAAAACGAACGCTACTTAATCAGCAGCAAAATGTCGCACTTTACTGCGCACCCCCGGAAAATAGAGAGCGAGGGTGGGGGAGAGAGGAAAAGAAAGCAGGAGGGGGGGGGGGGGGGGGGGGGTTGGCAGACGCCGTTTGACTTTTTGCTGTCGTTGCGAAAACAGACTTATCAGCTTTGCATTGTAGTTGTTGTCGTTGCCTCCGCTGGCTGAAAGCTTTCCAAATCGCCTTGTCCCGCTCCATCCGGCCACCCGTTTGGCATGTGCCGCCCCCTCGCCGCCCCCCAGAACCCCCTGCCACCCAGTAATGCCCCAACACACCCCACCGAAACCCACAACCCCCGACAATACCTCCTGATAAATGGCATTTAAGTATTAGTTGTTGCGACTGTTTCGGCGGGAACGTGCCCAGCTTTGCGATTCGCGATTGGTAAATTGGGTAATTGAAAACACTTAGCTGTTATGATTTATTATCTGTTTGTTTTCCCAACTCGCTGCTGATGTAACTGATTCGCTGACACATTATAGTACGTCGTATCGCTTGGCGGGCCAACTTAATTAATGGCTACCCAACTGTAAATATTGCTAATATTACATTCTACTTTCAAAGATAGGATTTCTCAATAATTTATTCAAAGATAACCAAAGAATTTGTTGATTTTAACATCAATTTACTTAGGAATCGCTTAAATAATGAACAGCTTATTGTAATTGACTTAAACTTTTAAATTAACTTCAGTTAGGGATCGTTTTTTCTTCTAGAAAAAATACCATTTTTAAGAAGTGTTCCTTAAGTGTGTTTCAATCAAAAAGGATTTTACTGAGCTTGTACATTTTTAGTAATATCATTGAAATAGTATTAAAATGGCTTTAGGCATTAGTTAAAAAAAATAATTAGTCGAAAGCCGAAATGATATCATATGATATGATATGATCATATATCATATCTTAAAAATGTTTGATCTTAAGTTCGGAATTCTCGAAAACTTCGTATACATGTTTAGTAAGTTTAAAACAAGTCTTCTCATATATCTAATTGAAAAGTTCCATATCTAAGGCAATTTATTTCAAGTGTATTGGCATTAAAAACCAATTAATCAAATGTCTGTCGCCAACCATAAACCCACTCCCTGACAAGTAACTCAAAATGTAAATACACCCGAAGGTGTTGACGAATTTGGTGGTGAACAGCTAATGCCCAAAACTATTCTTTTGTTTTAAAATGGATACTGTTTGTAGATTGAAATAAACAATTTTCCCAGCTCTGAAAGTAAACGTGTTGCTCAACTTTTACACATTGACAATATTGAAAATATTTGCGGCGTTGTCGCCAATATAAATATGCTAATTAATCACGTGTTTTATACCTTACTTACTTAGCTTACGTAATTGATATTATCAGTGTGTAGCGGAGCAATTTCCCTGGCATTTTTGCAGCCCGTGCCGACGATTTGTCGCGCACAGTTATTAATGCTAATGGATTGCACTCATTATATGCATAGCTAATTAGTACCGAGTGGGCAGGGCACCTAATCGATCTGCATAGTTTAATAACTTGTTGCTAAAGTGAATATTCTGAATATTTGAAATAATACTTGCCATATCCCAAGTGTCTTCTAGATATTGACAGGTATGTAAATATAAATTGAGGCGTCAATGTTTCTTGAAGCAAAAAGTTTTTAAAATCGAAAAAGTTTAATGGCTAAAGTACTACTAATACACTACCTAGTACTAGGAACAAACAAATGGTATAATCAATATAATCAACTAATCAAGACAAATGTGTACTTACTTTGCATTTGTAGATAGATTGAACTAAAGATTCTTTACCCAGGTGTCCTTATCTTAATATTAATTAATTTTGTCTTATAATCAAGTTCAATAAATACAAATGAGCATACCTAATGTTTTGATCGAAATAATAAGAATAGTCGGCTCTAAAAAAGGCCCTTAGTTATCTTCCCTTTGTAAGTTTGGTTCCGGGATTTATGCAATATATTATACTACTTGTAAAGTTCTCAACCTAGGACCACACTTCCTTAGTTGTAAATTTTTGTAGATGCATGTCCAACTATTACCCTTAAAATATACCATGCCTGCTTAATTTTATAAGCTTTATATGGGTTGTAAAAATATTTGTTGGCATTAGGCCAATCTAGTTAGCCGTAAATCACTCCCAATTAAGAACGTATTAGTTTTAGGGTGCCCATAAAAACGGAATTGTCCGAATCTAATCTGCGCTGGCAATTTTCGACTTTCGAACCAGATCGGTTGCGGGCGATAAGTGCCAAAAATAAAGGAAGTTAGCCTCAACTTTGATCCCCGATCCGAAGAAGGTATTATGCGTCGTGTATAACCATTAAAGTTAATGAAGAGGGAAGGCACATGCAGGGCCCCCGAGAAACAGAGACGGCGATACACAAACATATATGGCAAGGGAACAACAAAATGAGCGTTAACCAAGCGAATCCTCGGCACGTTTTGGAATTTACACGAGGCCAGGAGTTACGGGGACTTGGAACTGAGGGGGCCAAGGGGGCTGGACGGGGCTATTTCGACCAAGGTGTGTCTGGAAGTCTGGAATGGGGCGGGGGTCAAGAGGGGGAAACACACGGGGAGCACAGACGTTATGCGAAACACGCAAAACGAATTTGATTTCGCTGCATCAGTTCAGTTTGCTGTGAAACTAACCAACCAACCAACCAACCCCTCCTGCCGATCCGATCCCCCTGCCCATGGATTGCATGGCTAGCATGGCAATTTGCCATTTTGAACACAACGAAGCGAAGCGCCGGGGGTTGGGAAGGGGTCTTCGAGGTTCGCCGAGGGTTAAGAGGGGTGCTACGGCGGGTAAGGAGGGTTAAGGAGGGGTGCCGATGGGAAAACAGGGTACAAAGCCGAGCGAGGAGGCCGAACCGCAGTTTTGCGGCTTCATTGGATGCCAAAGGCGGCGACTCTGGTGCGTGGGAGGGGGGTCGACGGGGTTGGAACGTGGCCTTTTCGGCTCTCCAAAATTCACAGAGTTTCGCCGAGTTTTGAACTTTGAACCATCAAAAGGGAAGTTTTATTTTTGGGTGAGTCAAAACCTGTGGTGAAGCATTGATAGTTTTTCCTATGCAAACTTGTTAGCTTATTAATTTACTAAATAAATCTGGTAACTAACCAGGAACCTCAATTAAGGTATTACATGTTTATTAATAAATGGAATTTTGCTAAAT